CTTGATAATGTGCCCAAAGTATGTAAGACGAAATCTTGCCATCCCTGCTTCCAAGGAGCATTCTGGCTGTACTTCTTAGATGACAGATTTGTTCATTCTTCTGGCAGTCCATGGTATATTCAGTATTCTTCACCAACACCATAATTCAAAGGCATCAATTCTTTGGTCTTCCTTATTCATTGTCAAGCTTTTGCGTGTGTATGAGGTGATTGCAAGTCCCAAGGCTTGGGTCAGGTGCACCTTAGTCTTCAAAGTGACGTCTGTGCTTTTTAACACTTTAAAGAGGTCTTTTGCAGCAGATTTGTCCAATGCAATATGTCATTTATTTCTTGACTTCTGCTCCCATGGGCATTGATTGTGGATTCAAGTAAAATGAAATACTTGATGATTTTAATATTTTCTCTGTTTATCATGATGTTGTTTATTGGTCCAGTTGTCAGGATTTTTATAACTATATATATCATTATATAGTTTTACATACTCTGGCAATTACTTGTTCTGTAACTGCATACTGTTTATTCTTATGTTGAGAGTGAAGAGCTTGGAGTTTATTATTTATTTCTTTCACGTACGTCATATCACCTGAGATAGTTCTAAAACAATATCTGACATATAATAGTCTTTCAGAAAAGTACTTTTGAATTTGATTGTGTACTTGAGTTATATTTACTTATGCATTGTTTGCTTGTTTGGTTGGCAAATTAAGAGCAACTTCAGAAGAATTAACCAAAGCCACACAAACAAACACAGTACATAGTTTTGACCACTAATTTCCCTCTTAGCTATTTGTCCTAAAGGAATAAATCGAAGAGGAACTCAGAGATCTAGCTTCATTGATTTTCATTAAAATGTGCTCTATGATAATACTTGGAAACCCTGGTGGTGCAGTGGTTAAGAGCTGCGGCTGCTAACCAAAAGGTTGGCAGTTCAATTCTACCAGGCGCTCCTTGGAAACTCTATGGGGTCATTCTAATCTGTTCTATACAGTTGCTGTGAGTCAGAATTGACTTGACAACAATGGTTTTTTTTTTTTTTTGGTTATGATAATACTTGCAAAAACTATAAATAACTTATGACAATAGAAGATGATAAAGAATGTCTCAAACAAGCATAATACTAGTCAGCTTTTAAAAATTATGTAAATTATTACACTGACATAAGAATATGTCTAAGTTTTAAAGCAGATTGCAAATAAATGTTCATTTTGATTTTTTTAAAAATTACTGTATATGTTCATACACTAGTATATATAAGTGCATTTAATATATGGGAAGATATATGATGTTAATATTGGTGATCTATGGTGAGAAAATTACATTTTTGTTTACCAGCATTTTCTAACAATATAAACATTGCTAACCACTTTGAAAATAACTATCACAATTAAGATGGTTCCTTTGTTATGGGCTTTAACTACATGGCTTCTACACAAGGTAATCAAGTTAGCTGTTGTTATTAAATGACTTTATTTTACCTGCTGAATGAGTTAGTGAATTATCCACAGTAAATGTTTCTCAAATATAGTATATATACCGGTTGCCTTCGAGTCATTCCTACTCATAGCTACCTGAAAGGACAGAGTAGAACTGCCCCATAGGGTTTCCAAAGCTGTAATCTTTACAGAAGCAGACTGCCATATCTTTCTTCTGTGTAGGGGCTGGTGGGTTTGAACCACTCACCTTTTTGTTAGCATCTAATGCTTAACCACTGCACCACCAGGGCTCCTTCTTTATTACAGTATTAACAACAACAAAAAACCATTGCCACTGAGTCAATTCTAACTCATAGCGACCCTAGAGGACACAGTAGAACTGCCCTATAGGGTTTCCAAGGAGGAGCTGGTGTGGTGGATTCGAACTGCTGACCTTCTGGTTAGCAGCCAAGCTCTTAACTACTGTGCCACCAGGGCTTCAATTACAGTATAGCCTGCCTAAATATTACTACTGATTTTAAACTATTAGTTTTATATCACAATTTTTTGGGGGAAAATTGTCTAAATGTAAGCCCTTTATAATGTCAGATTTGAAAATGAAAATAAAAGTTTTAGCAGAAAGCTATTTGACGTGTAAAAAAGACCACAAAGGATAATATTACCCTGAGTCTTTTTGTTACCGTAATTACCAAGGGAGACAGTTAGGGATTTCATGGAGGTGTTTGTTTATTTAGGAGAGTGGCTTAAATTTAACTTATATGAACATGTGCAGTTTCAGATCCCAAATAGAATCTGAAGGCATAGAAATAAATAGGAGCCATATATACAGACATGCATACATACACACACCCACATACATACACACATGGATACATAAAATGAACCTTATATCCATCTGGAAGGCAGGATGTGATGTTCTGCAACTAAGACAAATTACAAAATGAGTTAAGCCACTCAATCATTGCAGTAAGTAAAATAAACTCTTAATTGAATCAACTGATTTTATCACCTTGTATAGAAACCAAGTAGATTAAGCCTATGTATAAAAGGAAGTTCTTAATTATGATAGATATTTCCAAAGTATTTAGTAATGTTGAAATGTTATCAAAAGGATGCCAGTAAGCAAAACTGGATCCAACATCTAGAAAACACTAGATATGATGAGAAGGAGGAAAATTTACTTCCTGGAGGAGGAAAGCAAAAACAGTATCTCAAACATCTCACCTTGTAAGGCATAGAGGGAGAGAGACACTTCTAACCTATAATTCCTTGGGTTTTAGTTGGGGAGAGCCAAGTTTTATCACTCTAAGCTCAGCAGTAGGGATAGAGTTGATGGCTATAATTTCTTGTGTCAAACCAGGTAGGATGAAAGTTGAATAAAATACTACTTGAGCTAAGTATTGCTTCAAGCTGGGAAAAATGGAAAATGTAGTAGAGTGGATAAGAGCATAGGTTTTTGAATCCAACATTCTTGGCTTTGTATATAGGCTTTGCTACATTTACAGTACTCATGCACTCGTTGATACGTTTACTCTATGCCAGACAAAATGTTAGGCATTCATGGTAAATTGGGGATCAAAACACATATTATCCTTGCTCCCTTATAATTTAATGAGGGAGATGGACAGTACTCAAATAATCTTACAAATGAAGTAATTACAAAGTGTAGCAAGTCTGTCCTGGAAAAATAGAAGTTATGCAAGTTTATTTTAGATGTAGTTGATTTGAAAATTGAGTAGAAATTAACCAGAGAAAGCGTGTAGTCCTAAGGTAAATGGGAGCATAGTGCCATTTATAAAAGGACAGTCGGATGGATCATAGACAGTGAGTGTTAGAGTGAAAAACTGAGCTTGGAGACCACCCAGAGTTTTATCCCAGGACAAATAAAGGTCACTGAAGATCTTTAAATAGGGACATTACAAGATAAATTTCTGTTTGTGGAAATCACTCTGGCTATAATATGAAAAAAATGGGATTGATAGGTGGTAGAATATCGTGCGGAAATCAGTGAAGGGTATTTGAAACAGTCCAGACAAGACATAATAGTTATTTGAACTAGGAAGTGGAAGTAGTAGAGAAAAAGAGAAGTGAAGATTTGAAGATTGTTAATGAGGTGGTGTATTGGCTGTGGTAATAGAGAATGAAGGTTGTCAAGAACAACTTGGATATTTCTTGGTTTTGCAACTGATTGGAAGATCGTGCCATTCATTGAGCTAGGGAATACATAAAGAGGACCAGATTCAGTTGCATTTTAATTTGGGCACATTGAGTTTAAGACTCCTTTCAGATGCCAAGTATAAATGTCAAATAAGCTATTGAAATATAAAGGTCTGAAGCTCAGAGGGAAGTTCTGGGTTAGAAATATATACCTGATATTCATTGACTTATAGTTGGTTATAGCAGTCATAGGATGAGATAGCTCAGAGAAAGAAAGTTCAGATGAGAAGGAATCCTTGGGTAAAGTTTTGAAACACTAATATTTAAAGACCAGTTAGAGAAGGACAAGCTGGCAAAAAAGCCTTAGCTGACAGAGGTTAGGGAAAAACCTGAGGGAAACTAAGAAGCCAAGGAAAGATGGTGCTTGAACAAAGAGCGGTCAATGGTGTTGAATGCTACTGGAGAGTCAGGTTAGTTGAGGACTGAAAACTGTCAAGTATGCAGCTTGTGAGAGTCATTTAAGTGAAACCATGGGTGCACAAACCAGACTGCAGTGAGTATATATGAGGAAATAGATTCCGTGTAAACAACTCTTTGCTGGGCAAGGAGGAAAACAGAATGATAGCTGGAGCAGGAGGGGTGGGGTCAAGGTAAATTTTTTTAATAGAATAGACTTCTAAATAGATCTCCACAAAAAAACAAAACAAAACATAAAAACAAAACAAACAATAACAACAAATGTTGCCATCTAGTTGATTCTGACTCATGTCAACCACATGTGGCTCAGAGTAGAACTGTGCTCCATAGAGTTTTCAGTCTCCTTTGGAGCAGTGGATTACCAGGCCTTTATTCCAAGGCACCTCTGGGTGGACTCCAAGCATGTGAACCATTTGCACCACGCAGGGACTCCATAAATAGACCTTAGTACTGGTGATAATGTTCCACTAAAGAGAAAGAAATCTAGCCAATAGAACAGAAAAGGGATAATCAAGAGAAGACTTCTGGTAACTTTGGGTAAGTTATTTAATGTCTCTGCCTTGGTTTTCACAGCTCTAAAACAGAGAAATTAATACCTAGCTCATTACTTTGATCTAAGAATTAAATAAAATGATATTGGTAGAATGCTTAGTAAAATTTATGACACAGAGAAGGCATTTAAGAAATTGGTGCTTAAAATAAATCCAGCAGCTAGCACAGTATCTTACACATATTGGAAGTTCAACAAATATTTGTTGAATGTTAAATGAATATGATGCCAGCACATGGTATTTGGTTAATTGGAAATATGAAGGAATCCAATGCATATTATTGTATACCAGGTTATAGACTCACCTTGGAGGGTCGATGATGATGATGAGTTGTGGTGTTTGCTATCTGATGATGTTGATGTTTTGGGCCTTTGTATTCACAGGGTACCATTTTTCTGCCTGGAAATAAAGTCCTGGAACATCCCTGCAATGAAGACAGCCCAGGGAAATTCTTTTTTGAAGTAGTTCCAGGTAAGATATTTTACTGATTTGATTAAATTATTGCTATTTCATATTAGTAAAGGAGAAGACTGGTCAGAAGGCTTTCTTCTTCTTCAGCAGTGGCTGAGAATATTAATTTAGTAATATTAATTTGAGTAACAAGTATCAAAGGTTGTTAGTATTTACAGATAATGATGCCAAGGTTTGTACACATGCACACTTATGAGCACATGACTATTGGTTTTCATTTGTCCACAAGAATCCAGAGTTGACCAGGAGTCATGACACAGTGCTTGTAAGGGAATATTGGAGACAAATTTGATGTCGCATGACACAGTGCTTGTAAGGGAATATTGGAGACAAATTTGATGCTGCAGTGCTTCTGTTAAATGCAATTTGACAAGGTGTTACAGGCAGATTGCTTTGTCCAGCTGATTCACTGTCATATCACCTCATAAAACTTTGTGTCTCAAAGGAGACTTTGCTATAAAAACAAAAGAAAACAAACCAAAACTCCTTCAGCAACTGACCAAGTATTACAGTTCTCAGCCTCAACTTTGCTTCCAGCCAACCACTTCCACATGTTTGGCTTGTAGACTTGAGAGTGTTTCTGCCAAGTCATCACATCCTGCAGTTAAATTTCTTCAACATCTGTTCTTTTTTAACTTCTTGCTCATCAGTACTCATCCCCCTCCATGTATCTGATCTCCACTTAAATCTTTGACACACCTAGTAACAATTTCTCCACGGCCATGGTCTACTTCATTGATCAATTCTTCAGCCTTTACTTATCCGTTGATGTTAGAAAGAGGTAGTTAGGAATGTGGTTTTTATAACATTGGCTCTGGCTGACCTAGTTTATGTGATATTGATATTGATTTAATCAAAATCTAGGGTGGGTGTAAATTTACTTGAGTGAGTAATATGTAATGCATATCAGTTATGCTGGCGCAAAGGCAGTCAATAAAACATTTTCCCAGGTTTAGAAATGCTGGGAATCTAAGACATGATTTTTTCCCCTCAATGAAAACAGCTGTAGCACTAAGTTCATCTGGCTCAGGATGGAATCCATGACTAAATGTTAATTAATGCAGCTGAAGTGCAGAAAGGTTAGTCAGATGCATTGTGTTATTTGTTTCCCCCCCAGGGAGAACATATTGTAAGAAACCTGAATCTTGTTTGTCCTATTAAAATCCTTTTATTCTTACTTCTTAGTGGAATACCCTGTATAGAACTAGATTCCAGATGTTGCAAAGTCTTTGAAGTATCAGTAGAGGAAACTTCACTCCCCCTTTATTCCCAAATGTTAGTGCCTGTTGACTTTTAAATGAGCATGATATTTAACTGATGGCTTTGACTCTTTATATCCAATAATACGACTTTCCTATTCAGTCTGCTAGCTGGGTGGAGATCTCATCTTTTGGTGAAGATGTTCTGATATACATAGATGGATGTTCTCAATACTGTTTTAGAGAGAGCTGTATCTTCAAGCCCAGGAAGTCAAGGATAAAACCTCACCTCGAAGATTGCTGTTTTAGGGCATATGTTTCACACGTAGTTCATATTATGTAATGGCTTTTGATGGACCAAACTTAACAGTTTTAAGATTGTGTGATGTGGAATCAAAGGTTGTTCTTTCAAAAAGAAATTTCTGAAGGAAATTCAGGCTTGCTGCTATAATTACAGATCACTTAAAAAGATCCTTCCTGAATTATTAATACAATATGTAGTAGCTTCTAAGTTAAGTTTTATGATTTTGAATCATTTTATGGAGTGAGAAGAAAATCATGCCAAAAGTTTCTTTGATGAGAGAGTTGGAAACATGTGATGGTTGTGTTGAGAATCCAGGGTCGACATCATTCATTTTGGTCATTGGAACTTTTTCGACGTGCTCCTGACAAAAGAATAGCATTTTCAGGCAAACACATCTGTACTTATATAAGAATGTGGAGATTTGTATCACATGATTTTCATCAACTTTTGTAAAATTGGGGTTATTTGGGATAAAATGACACTTGATTTATCTTTGCAAATGGGAATGACAAAATAATATATTGTAAATTTCCGGATTGTATGATAGTTTGACATTGGGAATCTGGAGGATGCAAATGTTTTCACTTGTCAGAAAGTGTAGGAGGTAGGAAGGATTGCAGAAATGTAGACAGTGCCTTTGTTCAAAACAGGCTTCAAACGGGTTCATTCTGGTTCAGACCCCTGCTGAAAATTTGTATTTCCACCACCAGATACACTGAATCAGAATCTACATTTTAACAAGATCCCCAGGTTTTTTCCATCCCATATATACTGAATCAGTATCCACACTTTAAAAAGATCCCCACATGATGATTGGGTATATCTGGAGTGGAAATGCAAATTCGCAGCAGGAGTTTGAAATGGAATGAACGGTTCGAAGCCCTGGTTCAGAACCCTCTGCAGGTCTGCCTGGAAGCTGATTTTCGTAACACATACTTAGTCTACATTGGCTTTCTCTGTGGAAATCCCTCAGCCTCCACTTCTTCTTTTTAAATTTTATTTTATTGTACTTTAAGTGAAAGTTTACAATTCAAGTTAGTCTCTCGTACAAAAATTTATACATAAATTGTTATGTGACCCTAATTGCTCTCCCTATACTGTGACAGCACATTCCTGCTTTCCAACCCTGATTTCCCGTGTCCATTCAACCAGCTCCTGAGCCTCTCTGCCTTCTCATCTAACCTCTGGACAGGAGCTGCCCATTTAGTCTCATGTATCTAC